CACTGTTATACTAGAGTGGAGTCTGAGTACTGTTCTTGGTGTGTGTTGCATCTCTAACCACTTAAGAACCTCTCTAATTCTAAACAATCCTAACTGCTTCCTGAGATCAGCGGGAAAGGTCTTCTTCCTGTGTCACAATTGACCATGAGGAGAAACAACGCCTTCAAAAGGGCTACAACAGTCCTGGAAAGCACAGAAGAAATCTCATGTCGGGCTCTACTCGCAGTTGTTGATGAAATCTTTTGTCATTTTCCTCTCTTGATTTAGAGGCACAGTTGACCATGAGGAGAAACAAGGCCTTCAAAAGGGCTACAACAGTCCTGGAGAGCAGAGTGCCCAATGAAGCAGAGATTATATCTGTGAATATCATCATCATCATCATCTTAGAACTGCAGAGCTGGAAGGGACCCTATGGATCATCAAGTCCAGCTCCTGAAAAGGAGGCCCAATGGGGAATCGAACTCTCAACCTCAGATACCTAAACTACCGAACTATTCAAGCAATTCCATTCATTGTTCGAAATATTTCCATTCCAATCGGATCTGATCTGCTGTTTGCTGATCACATCCTTTGTATTTTATTCATTATTTAAATGAACATTTTGTGAAATATTATACTCTGTGAGACGCTCTGAGTGGTACAGGGACACAAAGAAGAAGACATGTAAATTTACATGAAAAGAAATAAATGCATAAATCAATCTCATTCTTTATTCAGTTCTCCAGCCCAGTTCTTTGTCTCTTCCCTTCAATTTCTATTTCCATGTTCTTGTTTTTATATGTATGTTGTTCCGTATCCCATTAAAAGGGAGAACAAGACTCCTCAACGAATACATTGGAGGAAAGATAAAGAAATAAGGATGTAAATACAACTAATAAGTTCAAATGAAAACCCAGAACTGAGTCGCCGGCTTCTCCTGTCATTGACCCAAAATCAGTCTGTAGGCCAATTCAGGGTTTCTGAAGTCACCTAGGTTTGGCCCAGAGTGATTTGTGCCCCCATCTGATTGACCCTGCACCCCAGATCCAATGTGATCTGTAAATTTGTAAAGTAAAGGTACTAGTAAACCAAAATGACGACAGTCTCTTTGGTTTTGCACTTATGTGTATAACATCTGGAGATATGCTAAACCTTAAAGAGAGAAGTAAATGTGCCAGATTTAGACAGCTTGCTTTAGGCAGTTATGTACTACACACCTTTATTTTAAAAAAATAAAAATAAAAACACTATTTGTCTGTTGGATTCATTTTGTGCCCCAGATTCAGATTTGTTGTAAATTCAGTTCAATTCATTCTAGAACCAAATATGTTCCTTCTGCTTCTTTCTCGTCCCCATACACATTTCTCCGAATCAGGCTCATTCAGTTCAGAACTTGTGATTTGTCTATCCAGTGCATGGTTCTACTTTAGACAGGTTTCCTGGCTCTGAGTATTTCCTCTTGAACATATTTTTAATGTACTTCTGCAAATCCTAGGGTACCCTCAAGCCTTGTGAATACCCCCCTCTACTGTGTGGGTGGTGCTGTTTTGGCTACCAAAGCAACAACATCCACAGCTTGATGGTTCGAAACAGAAGCAACCGTTCCGTCACCCAGATCTACAGAAATAGCCAAAGGCAGAGGTGGGCAGCCGTTCCTCCGAACTGCTCCAGCAGTTTCCAATTTGCTGCCTTACATCTGCAAGGAGACAATTAGACACCAGGGTACTCATCACTTCACATTGCGTCATGTCACATTACATCTCCTCCACACTATTTTTAAGCAGCCTTGACGTCCGACACAAAATAAATGCCGGGCTTTTTGGATCAGGGCACCTGCTCTCAATTTGGGGGAGCAGACAAAGGAGGAGGGTGTTGTCAGGCCCACCGTTTTCCTCCCCCCCCTGCACTGCCTTCCATGTCTGGTTAGAGAACAGGAATACATAGCAGATGGCATGCAGGGGAGCAGAAAGCAAGAACACATGGCACAAGGCAGGTTATCTGAGGGTATCTGTATGTCTTTCTCAACACCCTTCTGGAAGCCAAGAATCATGTTAGTTTCCTCCCTGGAGTATCTTTAATGAGAACCATGGAGCATACTGAAATAACAACCTATCACCTTGCAAGCTTTCAAATGGCATGTTCCCTATCAAGAATAGGTGATAATAGCACTCAAATAGCATGCAAAGCATATGAGAATACGAGGCTAGCCAGGTAGTCTGAGGATCTGATTGCCACAGAAGCCAGGTGGATGTGTCAAAAAGTCAGCAAACATACATCATGTCACAGGCATGGACGTGGACATTGAGGAGATTCTTGACCCAGCCAAGCCTGAGGCTCCAGAGCTAACCCAAAACAAATCTTTCGAACAAAAACTGGAGGCAAATCTAGAGGCCCAATGTCAACACTGGGACTGCCTGCTTCCAGGAGTTGTATGATCCAGCACCCCAGTTTATACCTGGCATATAGGAGAGGTGAAGAAGTTCCAGGCTTCTACTTGGTGGGAGGAGCAATGGAATCTAGAAGAAGTAGCCCCAAGCCAAAGTGGAGCTCCAGACCTCACTAGAGCAAGGTGCTTGCTGGGTGCTGTCCTTGGTGCTGGCCCTTCTCACCTCTCCAGACCCACCTTGAACACGGCTTGATGACAAAATCCCTTCCTTGGTAGCTGCACCATAGGAAGCTGCCTTGTACTGAGATGGTCTATTTTGAACCATATAAGCTAGTACTCTCAGCTCCATAGGGTTTCTGGCCAGACTAATTTCTAACTCTACCTGAATAACTTCAGTAGTTCTTAGAATACTAGAGACTGACTCTGCTTACAGAATCATAGGAGATTACATTGTTCAAGGTGGCAGAGGAAACTGGAATTATTCAGTGCCACCAAACAGGAAGGTTTTATTCATGTCATGATTAAGAGCCAGTAATTATGAAGCACAGGAAAACATGACAATAGGAAGTTACTTTTTTCTTAGTGAAACCCTTGGTCTACACAGCCCAATATTATCATGACTAATTGGCCACATCTTTTCTGGTTTTCAGGTCCAGCCTACCTGGAGATGCTGGAGATCAAACCTTCCCTATCATAAGATCAATCTGTATGGATTTCACCCATCCCAAAAGATTCACAATTGTATTTGCTATCCTTCCCTGCCTTAGGTTATCTTACGTATTTGGTCTGAGGAGCTTGTTCCCCTGCTTCAACCCTTTAATTCTTGAACGGGTTGGGAACTGTTCTACATCTGCTCTTTGCCGCATGCTTGAATGACCAAACAAGCACAAGAACAATGGAAGGCTGTATCCCCAACTCCCCACTTCAGGCCCAAGTTGGAGGGAGAAAAAAGAATCCATAAAATATTGCCCCAGCCTGCATTAAATTCAGAACATCTCTGGGAATGGATGGTCTGATAGACAGACAAACAGATAGACAGGGGAAGGAAGGAAAGTTTAATTTGCAGATCTACCTTCAAAACAGGTGTATGTGTACATATATATCATATACCTATGCTAAAACGTCTTGTGTAGCAAAAATAATTGCAGTTTAGACAAACCCCTGGTGGTCTGGAAAGAGACTTCTAATATACTTTGGACCCCTGGCTGTTTTAAAGCTTGCATCAGTATTATCACAGAATCTCATTGCCTTGCTGAAGTCTCAGAATAATTTCTGTTCAGGGGGATCTCTGCAGAGACCAAGAAGGCTATGGAACCACTCACTTTTCCTATAATAAATTCCCTTTGCTCTAACAGAGAGCTGAAATTTATTCAGACTCATTCATTCTATATCTTTGGGTATAAAGGCTCAAACTGTAAAGGAAAAACTTATATGGGTAGCAGGGTCAGATTTCACTCCCGAATTACTGCAGCCTGATCAGTTTCTTTGAGATTTAGAAGAATTTTTAACTTTTTCTGGAAGATCTGAAGCAATCATAGCCCTATTATATACATGACAATTCAAAAATAAGTCCCACCGAGAGCAGCAGAGTACACTCCCCAGGTAAGCAGCTCTAGGACTGCATTGTAAATGGGAGAACAGAAACTCTGCCGGAACTGATCAGCTATCAGGACTAGGAAGAGAGATTGATCTTCGTGACCATTTGCCCAGGATGAGTCAGACTGGGCCACTAATAGGGTGTGCTGCTGTTTCTAGCTGCCACTGATTTAGCAATAGAAAGGTGTTTTGAAATAGAACTGCTTCTAATTCCCCATTAAATTGTTAGAACAGAACAGGAGTAGTGTTCAGATGTGATGGATTCTCATGAACTACTCATTTCCTCCATTTCCTTCACCGTTGATTTCTATTGTCTTTTCCCACAATTCCCACAATTTTATTCCCATGTCCAAATCCTATGGAGGAATTGGTGATTCCTTCACAGGAGCATCCAAATCCTGTGTAGGAACATCCAATTCTGCCATGAAGTAGCCATTTTCAATTTCTAGACATTTTCAGAAATACGCTTGGAGATTATCTGGACGACAGAGGGATTTCCTGCCAGTTTCCCCTCTTGGTTATCTGGCTGCCGGAAAATCTCAGGGAGAAGATGTATATTAGAAATTACATTTATTACATCATTACAAGCACTGCTGTTCTAATGGGTCAAAAATTTCAGGTTTTGACCCGTTAGAACATATGCTTTCCATTTGCTCCATATCTTGCATTCCAAGGGAGCAAATATGGATTTGATTTGTAGCTTTGATTGTTGAGACACTTATCTCAGATGGCCACGGGAGAGAAAAGGACTGCATAGATTATGTGTTTCATGACGCCTAAGTTGACCCAGAGAATTTTACTGCAAAAGAAATAGTGTGGCAAAGGTTAGGAAAATATGCCGCATACCAACAGAATTCGGGTGGTGATTTTGGAGGCATGGCTTCTGGTGGTGGCTAATCCAGTGGCGGTGGGACAGGCCAGTGGCTGCATACAAGGTGTTCAATGGATGCAATGTTTCTCACCTGTACTTTAGATGTATCTCACACACACCCTCCACCAAAAGGTTGGGGTTGGGGAAGCAAAGCAAGCATTTTCTTACCTCTAAACCCATTCCCATTGCCAGTGGAACAAGCTGGGGAAGGGGATCCTTGGGGTCGGATGACTGGGGCAAAGGCACTCTTTTGTTTGACAGCAGGAAAGACAGAGGAGGAGAATGGGAGGATGGAGGAAGCGCTGGAGGAACCGACAGTTGGACTCGAAGACATCACTGCGGAGGAGTCAAAAACACAACTTCTGTTAGCAATCAGGGGCTCAAAATACGGGAAGGACAACCTCCTCTCCCCACTTTCCTTCCCACCCACTTGAGTTCTGCTGAAAATGAAGAAACAGATTACCAAACAGAAGCCAAAAGCAGAGGCTGATTTGCATAACTTTTGCAGATGTTACTCTATGAGTATATTGGCAAAGTTTTCATTACAGTGGTGCCTCACATGACAAATGTCTCGCAGGACAAAAAACTCGCAAGACAAATGGTTTTGGCAATCGGGTTGATGGCTCGCAAGACGAATGTTCCTATGGCCGTGCTTTGCAAGAAGAATGTTTTCCGTTTTTTTGTTCCTGCCTCATGTTTGCTGATTTTAAAATGTTTTTCTATGATGTTTAAAAAGTTAAAGTTTTTTTATTGAAATTTTTACAATCAACTGCACAATATGTATGGCTTTAAAGAGCACTTAATAAACCCTTTGTAAACCAAATTTGACTTTGTTCTGATGTGTTTTTTTTTTCCCCATAGGAACACATTAATTAGATTTCAATGCATTCCTATGGGAAAACACGTTTCACAAGATGAATTTTTTGCAATGTAACATTAACTGCGGAACGAATTAAATTCGTCTTGTGAGGCACCACTGTAATCACTATAATTTTAGGTGGAAAAATACGTTTCAACTTAGAAGGGCAGACTGAACAGGTCAGATCTGGTCACAGTTAACAGGATTACCTGCAATGTGGCTTTTCGTTTTGTTTTGTTTTTGCTTTTTGCAGTAGCAAAAAATTGCATTATGCCATTCTTTACTTCTTATTTCAATATCTTTTTTTTTAAACAATCATTTTGGTCAGGGCAGGCAATGTGGGCCCTTTGGGACCATTTTGTTTATTGAAAGCTTTAACAATAAATAAAAATGGTTTAAAATAAGGTTTTAGTCAAATGTCACTAACATATTTCACACCCCCCCCAATGACACACTTGATAAATTTTCAACATACCCATTTCCAGTAACACCTCCACCCAAACTGCTGAGCTCTTGTTTCCAGGCACATTACAATCATATAAACTGATCTGAAACCTCTCCCCAGATCATAACATTTATTACTTTTGAAGACCAATAAGTTTCAAAGTTCTACAAAGTCAGGTGTCTTGCCGAGTGGAGTTCAATATATGATGCACAATCCATGTTACTGATGACGAGTGTTCACCTTGCTAGTTTCTGAAGTCTTCGAATGATGTCGCAGCTTTGCACACATGTGTACAAACAGACTGAATAAGAGTGTTTGTGCAATTCTAGGGTGTTTTCAGAACACAGCAAGGAACACTTATCCCGGGGTGGCATCCCGTTTTGATTCCCTAATTCCTACTCCCAGATGATCAGGGATTAGACACAGCCAAAGGCCATAGAAAGAAAGAAAAAAATGAAGACAAGTCCTTTCTCCCACTCTGGTTCATCACATGACTGGTGTCCAAATCCATGGCATCTCTGATCATGGGATCAACCAACATGGCAGCATCTGACCATCAGGTGTCTCTCTAGTCTCTACCTGTGACGTGCCACAAGAGTGGTAAGCCAACAATCAGTATTTTAAAACTGCCTTCCTCAACCTGCATTGTTCTCCAAACCAAAGGGAGAGCAGTGAAAGAGCCAAATGTGGTGGACTGCATAGCCCAATGCAGAGTGGGCACTGGGGATGATGGGTGTGGTAGCCCCATGTGTCTGCAGGAGTGAGAAAGGCTGCTTAAAAATATTTTTTTTAAAATAACGAAGATCTTAGTGACAGTATGAAACAGGTCACACTGAACTCAAGCAGGCCTGGGGATTCCTCTGGGGCCCAAACACTCATTTTTTTTTTCTTGCACAAATCCATGGTATGGCCACACAATCACAGCTGGGGTGTACTTGTCCCATATTCTTCTCAGAGACAGAACATTTCCTTTTAAATATTTTTTTTTCATAAGGATCTGTCAGCATCTCATTGTAAACCCTTATTGTCAAGGGTTTATAGCTCAGCTGCAAAAATTTCTCTTTTTCCCTGGAGCCAAAACTTGGCACATATAAGCTAGCCAGGAAGTGGATTTTCTAAGTTTTCTTTTAAAACACACACACACACAGAGAGAGAGAGAGAGAGAGAGAGAGCGCAAGCCCACAACATCTGTTTGGCCATTTTTAAACTCTCTGTACAAGAGTCATAGACGTTTCAGATTTCTTTTTTTAGAGGATGATTCTGTCAAACAGGCAAATTATTGTTAAATTTAAAAAAGTGTTCAAGATGTTCTCCTTTGCAAATCTGGACGGCAGAGATTTATGGCAAACAATTAGACATTGTCAGTGGCTAAACAATGACCTTCTTAGGAGGCTCCATGTGAGTTTGGAAAATTCACATTTCATTCCAGCTCTGCTACAGATAATCTGAAATGTCCTTGGGCACTCTCTGTGCCTGCACATTTGTGTGCATGTGTGCGCATGCAAACAGGTCAGCCATTAAAACACACAATGAGACACACGGACTAACAAAGGTTTCAGCCAGCCATGCCCTCCTCTGGGATATTCCATTTCATTTTTTCTTTTTTTGTTTTCTTTCCCAACTAACATCAAACACACCTATTGAGCATCCTCCATCCTCACTGGACTGTTTTGTTTTGTTTTTTTAAAAAAACAAACCTCCAAAAGCTTTAAAAAGTTGCTTTTGCACCAGAAGCATTTCTGGGCAATTCCTTAGTCAGGGAATTGGTGATGTGATCTTTATTGAGCATCCTCTATCCAAAAAAAAAAAAACTCCTTGAGATTTAAAAAGTTGCTTTTGCACCAGAAACATTTCTAGGCAACTCCTTAGTCAGGGAATTGGTGATGTGATCTACGAAACCCTTATTGGCTTGAGTTTAGGATCCTAAGGTTTTTATTCATCTTCTTGTTATTGCAGCCCTCACAGGCTCTATTGCTAAGGTCTCAGGGAAGGGCCCTTGTCAGGTGGGAGGCAAGACTGTGCCCCCCACCATGCAGCAAAAACAATTTTTGAGTTTTTTAGTAGTGAGGGTATTGTACACTTTCCCCCCTGTTATTGTGCCTTTACTAGGTTTCTAAGTTGTTTTAATTTAGTGCTTGTTCTTACTGTTTTTAAAAGTACAGTGGTGCCTCGCATAGTGATCGCTCCGTTTAACGAAGAAATTGCTTTGCGGTGATGTTTTTGCGATCGCTTAGCGATGGTCCCTATGGGGAAAATTTGCTTTGCGATGATCACAGGGAAGCGATCATCGCAAAGCCCCCATTTTCGGCCAGCTGATCGGCAGTTCCAAAATGGCCGCCGGGGTAAACAAAATGGCCACCTGCTGTGTTGCCTCGATTTAGAGGTACAAAAATGGCCGCCCCTATGGAGGATTTTTGCTTAAGGTTAGTTTTTAAGCCCATAGGAACACATTAATGGCATTTTAATGCATTTCTATGGGCTTTTTAATATCGCTTAGCGATGAAATCGCTTAGCAGTGATTTTTGCTGCATGGATTAACATTGCTAAACAAGGCACCACTGTATTATATCTTAGGGTTTTTCCAGATGAAACATTGGTGCCACTATTTCTTTAGAATTCCACAGTGATTTTACTGTGATTGTCCCCAGTACCTAAAGAGTGTTCACTCCATCTTGTTTAACGCTATTCCACCCCCTAGTTCCTGAAACGTTTTCAACCTGCTAAAACGCTTGGTTTATTTTATTTTACGTTTTTGTTCCACTTTGTACTGGAAGGGTAGAATTTCATGCTAGGATACTTTCCCAAAATTTCAGAGGTGATGCATAATTAAGAACGAGAAGCCAGTAGACAAAACAGAACAAAGAGGTGCACATAAACTGTACTGAACAACAGTGGGCGTGTGGTGGACCCTGACAGGTGGGGTGAAATTTTGGGATTTCTTAAACTATAAAATCCATAATGTTTATTTTGGGGATTCTACCTGACAGAAAGGGACCTAAATGTGGCTGATGTGGAAGATGGGCGAGGTATAAATTTTATTTATCTATCTATCTATCTATCTATCTATCTATCTATCTATCTATCTATCTATCTATCTATCTATCTATCTATCTATCTATCTATCTATCTATCTATCTATCTATCTATCTATCTATCTAAAGGCACAGGTCCTATGTGAGATGAAGTAAGAATCTGAGGAAGAAAAGTGAAAGGAAAGGCAGAATACAGACAACTGTAAATGTCGCTGGAATTTTTCAGTAAATATGGTCTGAGAAATACTTGAATTTTTTTTCATACAAAACAGAGATTTTTCACACAAAACAGACATATATTTCAAATATCATAAATATTTATGAAGCAGGTGTGAAAGGGCAGAGGTTTGAGAACTCTCAAGTGTACCTACATGTGGTATATGTTTGAAGGAAAAAAGTGACAACACAGAAAACACAGACCAGTTGTTTTTGTATTTTAAAATAGTATGTCCTGGACGAGTTTAGTACTTTAAGCTTAAGTATTCATAATAATTCTAACCTAATAATTGTTAGTTTAGGGCAGATCATCCAGATTCATTTCCCTGGGCTACGTTCTTTTTCCATTGCAAATCCAAATGCATTTGTGTCCCAATTTTTCACTGACATTTTTCACTGACAAAAGAGCATCTCTGTTTTTTTTGGGGGGGGGGCTTTGCACATTTCAGGGAATGCATTGCAAGCATGGGAATGCACCCTTTTACAAAATCTGGTTTTGTATACAGGCCAGGAAATTCATCACTGGTTAAATCTGTCTATCCTCTCCTCTCCTCCACTCTCTCCCTGCTCCGCTCCACTTTATTTTAAAACCTTCAGGGAAGAAGATTTCTCATTGTATTTGACTAGGAGTGACTGTGATAACTGAGTCCTGTTTCTAGCAATGGAAAAATGGAGATACATAATCTGGCCAACCCAGATTTCTACCTCTTAAGGACTAAAGTGGAACCATTGAATATAATAGTTACAGGGCTCCTAGTACTTCTGATCAGAAGACATTCTTTGGCTATTATGGCTTTCCTTCCTCAAATCTTTATTAGTATTTATTATTATTTATTTAACTTATATGCTGCCCACACTACCCAAAGGTCTCTTTAGCCTGGGGAAAGGGCAAAGGTGAAAGAAGTTGTGTGAAGATCACAAAGGGTTATGACTGAAAGGAGACGGCTCAGGTCAATGTGAACGGAGCCACCTGATTGTTGTGATTACACTGTTCAAACTAGAAACGTGTGTTGTCTTTAGAAAAAAATGTATAAAACAAGACTGAATTGGGACGCAGGGCAACTGCAAGTCAAAGCAAGAAGCTCCTGTTCACTTCTGGGATTGAGCAACGCCATGACAGGTCCTTCCTGTAATATTTTGTAAGGTGACCAAGATGGTCAACAGTTTGAATATAGGAAAGGGGAGATTGGAACTAATGAAGTAGACTGAACTCTTTGCACTAAAGATGAAGTTGAGTGACAACTGAACCCTCCAATCAAGTCTTAATACCTCCCCGGAACATTCCAACCATCGAGGGGGGCTATAGGGAGGGACGAGGCTGATATGACCTCAAGGTCTATGTACCTTCTTCTAATCCCTCTGCCAGCAGTTTTCCAGAACTGTAGGGTAAAGAGAAAAACTTCTGTCACTTTATAAGTAGTCCTGCACACCAAATTCTGGGCCTGAGTTGGGACTTAGCCATCGTGATACACTTGTGATTTGAGAATAACTTATTTCAAATAATTGGTTATTTGATATGAATTTCTTTTTCTTCAGTAATACAGATATAACTACATTATATTAAAATTCAGCAAAGGATAGCTCCATTTTTCCTACCGTGTAATTGCTATGGCTCAGAGCTACTTTCACAGTTACAAGAGTATAAGCGTGTTAATTGGTGGAGGAGGAACATCATGCGGTTCAAGCGCTGGCTTTAGTGGCCTCGTGCTCTGGTGTGATGCTGAGGTGACAATGAAGAGAACGGGGAAAGAATGTGTTTTGTACCAACACATTAGATTTTCTTTTAAAGCAATGAAAATATAACATAACTTTTTATTCTGGCAGGCTTCAGACACCATGACTGCTGATGAGAAAGAGACTACAGTGTTTTCCCCTTATTTTTTTTTCTTCCACTCTGAAACTGTTTTTAATTTGTTTATTCCTTAATTTGCATGCTAGTATTATTGCTCATTGGGTTTTAGCTTTATTAGAAAAAAAAAGTCCCATATCATCCAAAGGTGAGGGTGGGTGATACCTTTATTAGACCATTAAAAGTTTGCAAACAAAAGCTAGTTTTTGACTCTGTACAAGTCTTGATCTGTGGGCATCCTTGGGCATTAGCTGTATGTGTGTTAGACTCACGTATGTCTTTGGGCCCCAGTATTGAAAGAGAGGTGTTATAAATTAAACCAATCCACCAGCCAACAAAAACCAGCCAATTATTTAGTTACTTTTGAGAAAGGGAGAGGGGAAACTGGTACTTCTAAAAATTACATCAATAGCAGGAACTAAATATTTTGGGGTCTCTTGGTACTGTAACTCATTACTTTTCGAAGCAACTTTCTAGCTTCTCGCTACATGCCAGGCAGATTGGCCCAGGGAGATGCCAGAAGCAGCTCTGTGCCCTCGCGTTCTGGTTCCGCAACACCTTTGCACTTAATTTCTGATTGCGATGTTGGGAAGCCTTCCGCTCCCTCCCTCCCTCCAGACAGAGGCACAAGCCATTTTCCAGCAGATTGCCTCTTGGCCTAAGTAAAACCTAAGGTCAGTGCAGAGGCAAAAACGAGGAGGAAAAGGCAAAATACTCACAGCCATACGGTGATCCTGTGGGAGAGCCATTAATAAAGCCAGGCGAGCTAGGAACGCCCAGGTTAGACATAGGGACGTTGCTGTAGCCGTTCATGCTGTTACTGGAGGTGCTGTAATTAGACTGCTGAGGGGTCGAACTGGACGAATAACCTCGGGGAGAGATGCTGCTTGTGTTGCGGATGTAACCTACAAGAAAGAAACCTTCACTGAGTACATGGGGTTGAGGACAACAGGATGATCTCCCTCCCAGCTATGCTGCCTCTAGCTACCTAGATTATGGAATGGATCAATCTCCCTGTATCCTTTTCTCTAATGCTCCCCTTTAACCCCCTGCAAAAGTGCAAGTTCCCTCTGTCCGATCCCTACCTCTGTTTGTGTGTTGTACACACGGCAGACAAATTCCACATGCATTATCTATCGATCGAGACAGACAGACAGACAGACAGACAGACAGACAGACAGACAGATAGATAGATAGATAGATAGATAGATAGATAGATAGATAGATAGATAGATAGATAGATAGATAGATAGATAGATAGATAGATAGATAGATAGATAGATAGATAGATCTATCTATCTATCTATCTATCTATCCCCTTTTCTCAGCTAACGACACCCATCAATCACAGTGACAGATCATCTCCCCCCTTATCACAACAAAACACCCATAACAAAAAAACACTGTTCACGGGAATCACCCACTCTCCTGAAAAGAACAAAAACTCTGATCCCACAGCTACAAATACTCAACGTCCCACACACTACAGCAGAACACAGACAGAGTTCTAGCTCCTGTCCTCTGAAGATGCTGGACGCAGAGACTGGTGAAATGTTAGGAAGAAAAAGCTCCAGAACACAGCCAAACAGCCTGAAAAATCTGCAACAACCATCGGATCCTGGCCATGAAAGCCTTCAAGAACACAGTTTTACTCATATTTGTTTCACCAGCTGACATATAAGTGTTTGTACATGAGCTTCTTTTACATACACTTTTCTGTATACTAAGAGGAGGGGAACATCAAAGAACTGTATGGCAAAATTTGGAATATAAGGTCCATTGTGTTTTGCTGTGTGCAGGAAGTAAGAATTAGATCAGTTTATCTTAAACGGATAATACATGTTTCCCGCCCTTAACCTGGACTCCATGAAAGCAAATCTTCTTACAGCATAGATGCTCAGTGGCCTCGTGTTTTTAGCTACAGAAAGGAATGACTCTTACCAAGAGGGCCAGAGAAGAGGGCGTACTTGGGACCTTAGCGTAGCCTCCAGTGTAGGACTCATATATTAGAAATCTATGTTGATGTATTTTATTTTTTTTCCAGATTTTGTACAGAACACCGTCAGAGATGGGCACGAACCAGGAAAGCAGTGCTTCATGATGGTTCGTGGTTCGCTGCTATTCATGAACTGTGGACTTCCACAAACTTTCATAGGTCATGCAATTCGTGAATTCCAGCGGGACTGCTTTGGGGGACTATAATTCGCATCCCAAATCCAGCTTTTTCCAAACCTGGAGCCGGTGGGGAGATGTGTCAGCTGAAGACTTGCTGTGAGTTTAGTGTCTCTAACTTGCACATGAAACGTTCTACCACTTTGTGAGAACACCCATTTGTGCCCTAACTCTGCCAACGATGGGTTCTGGTACTTTCCGTTCCCCCAACTCCAGTGGCACTCGCTGGTTGCCCCATGGTTGGTCCAGAATGGGCAAAGAAGCCTGCTCTCCCCTTTGTTCCTCATTCCCCTTTGCATCCCTCCCAAAGCAGACTCGATTTTTAGAGATGCAGCTTCTGGAGTAAAGGCCCACCATTCCAGGGCTTACAGCCAAGTTGTGCGCTAATGCTGGCGTGAAGGTTAGCCTCGGAGCGCTGCCTGACAATGCAAGATCTTTTGCATAAGATCCCTTTGCAGGTTCTCGCCCCTGAACCTTGTTTCACTGGAGGATTGTCAAACAACACCTTTGTTTGACAACATGTGTATTTTCGGCTGATCACATCTGACGGTTGGAAGGACGTGGCAGGGCATTTCGAGTTCTGGAAGAAATTATCGCCCCGGTTGTTTCTCATGTTTATTACATTAATGTGGGGTTGGCTGCAACCTGTGGTCAAGGCTGTACCTTCTCTGCGATTTCAAGAGGATCATTCTCTATTGCACCAAAGAGTTTTTTGGAGGGGGGCAGGGAGGAAGGAAACTTTGGGAAAGTTTAAAAGGAAGAAACTCTTTCACTTAAGGCATAGCTATGGAGTCCACACTCCTGAGATATAACACTAGCTATCGCTTGAGCACAGAGAGTGTCTTAGATGAAATTTGAATGTCATTAATGGCAGGCTAGATATAACACTACCTATCGCTTGAGCACAGAGAGATGAAATTTGAATGTCATTAATGGCAGGCCCACAATGTACATCGGGTGGTATCCTGCCCGAACAGTATGCCCATGAGTGTGATAATGTGGGATCATGCTTCCTTGCACAACCATTGCCATTCTGCAAGGCCAGGGTAGACTTGCTTTGTGGAGATAACCGATGGCGTAATGCTAACACTTCTGCAAAGGGCATGCTCTCTTGTTAACATGGTGGAATTTCACACCCCATGGAAGTTCAATAGGATACTGCCCCTACCACTTCTGACTCATGGTGGCTTCTGTCCACAGATGTTTGCCAGACGGGGGAAATAAAACCCTTATGAGGTGTTTTTGTTTGCCTTCCCAAGTGATTCAGTGAGTTTTCATTGACTCACTTAAAACTTGCATTTCTTTGGTTACTGATTCCATCTAATGAATCTGTACATTTCTTCCATTTGATTGGCTTTGCTATTTTGTTTCAAGGACAGGCTAAGCCAACCTTCCACTGCCATAGCGTTTGTGTTCCCTATCCTTTTGGCATTTGACATTTTCATGGCATCAGCTTCCAGATTTTAAATGCTTTGGACATATAGCCTCTATTTGGATGTAATTTAAATGTATATATCCTATACACTTTCCATGATTTGCAGGGAATCCAGATGTTTTATCTTGCTTGTCATTTATGTCGCTTCTGTGCTACTAGCACAATATCTGATAGCTGAGCCAAAGGATTCAACCTACTCACTTTCAGAAACATAAGAGAAATACTTTATCAGTTACAGACAACTTTTACGAGCCACAGATATGTTTAACTTCAGAGACTAATGGTCCTTTAAAGCAGTGGTCTCCAACCTTGGGCCTCCAGATGTTCTTGGACTTCAACTCCCAGAAATCCTGGCAATATGTCTAACTTCAGAGACTAATGGTCCTTTAAAAGATTCAGATCTGAGGTAGCAGTTTCACAATTAGAAGTGGAGCTGCTTTAAGAAGTAAAGGAGATTTGATTATAAGAAACAAGGTTTCAGAGCTCCAAGTGCTGCAAATTAGCGTAGCTTTGTTTGACAATTAGTTACCAGGAGATAACAATTGGCTTCCTTCACATGTCAGTTGTTCAAACAAGGCAAAGTGTGTCTTTGTAGGGAGAATGTATTCTCCCATTTTTACTGCAGAGCTGCTCTCTCTTCCAATTCAGCCGAATGCATGTTATCTGTCCTCATTCTCCCCCTCCCTTGCAAACAGAAGCTCTATTTGACCTATACAGACTGCTTAAGGAGGTCTCCAGCTCAACACAACTAGAGAAATAAATTATCTATTGGAACACTTTGGTTTGAATTTCTACTCATTTTAGGACACTCGTGTGTTTCATTTTTTGGTCTTGTTTTTAACACAAATGCACATTCTCAATCTATTTTGTAAAAACCAGAAGTTGTCTTTGTGTATGTTCCAGAAGCTGCAAGAGGGTGGCTGATTATAATGTGCCCAAAAAGAACAGTCCAAGAGAGAACAGAACAGGGCATAGATTTCCATAAAATCTGCATATCCTAATATATATGTCTGGGTGCAAATTGCTACTTCATTGAAAACATTTAAATAGAAATGCAGTGCATTTAATCACAGGTGGTACTAGGCCTAGATCCGCCAAAGTTTCCTTTTTGTTCTTAGAGTGATGCAAGCTGGGAACTCTTCTTTCTGAACAGGAAGCTTAGGCAGGGATAGGCCTAGCTAATCCTCAAAGCGTTCCAGCTGCATTGTATTTAGGTGTTTGTAAGGGCCTGGCACACTCTAGTCCACGGGGTCACAAAGAGTCGGACATGACTTAATGACTAAACAACAACAACAACAAAGGTGTCTGTAAGGTAAGTAGAACTCCCAAATTTTTGCTATTTGTAGTCCAGAAAATCTGAAAAAAATCCCAGTCCTCATTGCTACGACTGCCAGTTTTACCTTGATTGTTCCCTTGTGTAGACTCTGAGATGCTGACTCCCAGTTGGCTGCTGTAGGAGTTGATGCCCATCATGCTACTGTGCGCTGGAGAGCTAGACAAAGCAGGGATCTGGCCAGGATTCCTTGGGACACTGTAGAGAGCTTCTGCTATGTCAGCAGCTCGCTTCAATATAATGTCCTGCATGGAACAAGCAAGAGACCAGGTTGACTTCAATCTCAGACAGATAAATAAAATGTATGCAAAAGGAGAGAAAGAAGCCCCTTTGCAGACAATGTTCAGCGAATGTCTTTAGGCAAAAGGTGAAGAGAGAGCCAGGATCAGGTCCGCAAGGTTTTCTTCCAGCTGTCTCACTTCCAGTAAAGTCAGCAGAAGAGAAGGACTTCCCACCTGCAGGCCTAAACTGGATTACTGAGGCTTAGAAACTGGCTCACCAAAGGACATCTCATTCCCAGACATTATCCCTTAGTGTGGTAGAATTCTCCAGTTTTCTCCAGATGTGGATTAGGGGAAAAATTAGGAGATTCCCTTATGGACTGCACATCCTCCTGCCTTTTCAACTGTAACTGTTGGCGGGGAGGATGTGCCATTAGTCCTACAAGTGCCCCCCAGTATATAAAGTGTTGGAGTTTTATATGCAACCTCGCATGCTGCCTGTGATCTGTGTAACTGGCAGGGACTTTTCTGGGCGAGGGTGATTCCTTGTCTATCCAACACCAACCAATACTTCCTTCTAGGATTTTAATGGAAAGAGAGCCCTGCCTCTCTGTTGAAATTTATGAAATCAGCTTTCAAGGAATCCTGTACTTAAATCCTGAAGATGCATTAATTACCAGACAAAACAACTTAATCTGCATCACCTAAAAACACGAGAAGCTTCTGCTATGACACTAAGATGTCCATGTTAGTTAAGCATTTCCCTCTTCCAATCATAGCCTAGCGCTAATGTCTGTTTCTGGCTTTAGCCTCCCATGGAAGGGAGGTCCATGCTGGTTTTTGCGGTATCTACACACACACATACAGAGAGAGAGAGAGAGAGAGGTTGTAACCTGATTATTATGTGGCGTTCCATACAGTGCTTCAACTAGGTCAGCTGCTCGTTTCAACAGCATCTCCTGGAAGGAAGGAAGGACAGCCAAGGGTTATAAAAGGGTTATAAAATGCAGTTTTGTGGCCAATGAGATGCCAATCTGGAATTACTCAGATTTAAACTCTATAGCTGCTATGAAGCTGGGATAAAAGTGCTTGTTGAAGGGTACGTGCTTGTCTGAGACCCTGCTGAGTCTGAGCAACTTCCCTGCATGAGCTGAGTAGAACAAATCGAAGGATTTGTATGCAATTAAAATTTCACAAAAGACAGAAATAACTCTTCTTTTTTTGACAATGCCTCTCCTGCCAGATTCAGCTGTAGAAATTCTAAACAGTCAGATTAAAATGATTTGTTTGTTCAGGGATTATTTGTGCCAATTTAGCATCAAAATCCTATTGCTTAGTGTAGTGAATTGTAGTAAAGTAGCCTATTGAGTCAATGGGGATTTGGTGAGTCACCTCCACTGTAAATTCCATTGATTCAAACGGGCAGGAAAGTAGGTCCATGAAAACCGATGGCAGTTATGGAGGAGTTGACTCACCAAATCCCCATTGATTCAATGGGCCTACTCTATTGCAATTTACCACATTATGCAACAGGATTTTGGCCTGTATGTATCAAGGTAACCTGATCAGTTACAATCTATTTTAAATTAATTACAAGTATTAAGTATATCAACAAGTTAAAAGTATTAAGTTACAAGTATGAGTTACAAATGCTAAGTATATCTAATCTTGCTTATGAAATCTGACAATCGTATGGATTTAAAATAGATTAATCTATTGATTGAGGCAGAAATTCTATGGCTATGTGTCTTGTAGCTGCAATTGATTCTCAGCAAAAAGATAAGAGGGTTGCACTGTTAATCATCATAAATTTAGATTAGGAATAGGACATTGTAGCTCTCAGACAAGACCTTAGAAAAGGCATTAGATCCTATGTGGGATGAAAACCTGATGTGACATGAGCCCTATTCAGGCATTACCTATCCAGTTATTTTCCAACAAACAAGAATCTCCATTTTCCAGAGTTTTTGGTCATGTGGGGAGCCTACACGAGAGCAGGTACACTCTCATGCAGAGAAATCACTCTCCATGTGGAGAACATGACACCGAGAGGAGAGCCGGTATCTGTTCCCCTCTTTTGTAAGGGGAAGCTATGTTTCTAAGATGGCTTCCTCACCCATAGTCTTTATAAGTAATTACATTAAGAATAGTCAATGTTTTTTCACCTAATAATGCAGGAGGACCATATTAGTCTGCCAATGATTTATGATAGACTAAATAATAAATACCATTTTTTTAAAAACCTTGCAACCCTGTGTATGTATACTAAGAAGTCCTACTGAGTCCAACAGAAATTATTCCCAATTGAATGTATATAGTGTTGCAGTTTTAGACTCAACACTAAGGGAATAAGACTTGCTTACCGTATTTTTCGCACCATAAGACGCACTTTTTTCTCACAAAAAAGGGGGGTGGAAAGTCTGTGCGTCTTATGGAGCGATGAAAACAGATTATATTTTCCTGTTTTCTTCTCCTAAAAAAATGGTGCGTCTTATGGAGCGAAAAATATGGTAATCATTTTGGATTAGAAATGTACAAGATTGCTCTGTTGATGTAGCAAAAAAATGAATTCAGAACAAGACATTGCATGAAAAAGGCTTAGACAACTGTATACCTTGGCTAGTCTCTCTGGGTCACCCGGATGTCTTGGGATAACTTTCTGGAGTCTTTGGAAACCATAGTCTATGGTAGGCTCATTTAATGCTGTAACAGAGTTTGGGGGAAAAAGATAAGACATGTTCATAACTGGATTTAAATGTGTGCATGCACGAACACACACAATAATAATCATAAACCTCCCTTTGGGAAAGCAGGAGCCAAATATTATTTCACATTAAGGAAGGAAAATGTAATATAATGCAAAGGAACCAGTAATTAAAGATGCACAAACAGAGTCTGAATTTTATTTATTTCAGGGGGCAATTAAGGGGCAATTCAGTACCAATGGCTCAGCTGTGCTGAAGCAGCAGCCATAAAACAAGGACATGTAAGATGGAAAGGGTTAATTAGCATTGCAGGAGACTGTTGTGGATTGGGACATACTTGAGAATACACATTGTTGGTTATTTTGATACCAGCTCTGACTGGCAGCAGTTGACAAAACCAAGTTTAAAAAAAACCTGATCAGTCTCACATCTTCTTGCCTGGCTGTCTTTAGCAGAACAATATGGAAGTCAGAAGTCATGATACACTGTGATGGAATTATGATGCTGAGTTTAACTATTATTGGAGGAAACCAAGTGGGAGTGGGTTAGGGAAACCTTAGACCTGAGGGTTTCTGCTTTACTATACATAGACAGTTTGTTTCTGCCTACTGGGAACCATTCTAGATCGTTTAAGGAGTTTAATAATACACATTTCAACTGCCACAGAATCTATTTCCCATTGGGGAGCCGGGCAGAGAAGTTGCGACAATAATCGTGAGAATTTGTCAGAATTCTCCCGAGATGGTATATATCACTATCTGCCATTTCTCTTCTTGTCTATAAGTCTAATCGCTTCAGTAAGTTACATGTCTTGGGTCAAGGAAAAGGGATTATAAACCATAGAGCTTTTTTAAAAAGCTATAAAAACAACTTAGATGTACGTGTTTAAGTAAAAATATCTCACAGGAATATTCAGATTTGTCGAGAAAAGAATCTGGCTACAATTCAAGAACAATTTTACAATTGTATTTATTTAGTCATGATAGCATGTAACCGTTGGTCCTACATAACTTGAGAATCTTGCCTTTTATTTCGTTATCTGAAAATTAAAATCAACGTTATTCTGAGATGAGAAAGCTGCAGTCTATCTATCTCTCTGTCCATCTATCCATCTATTCAAAATATTTTTACTCTCCCTTTCTCCTTAAAAAAAGGACTCAAGGTGGCTTGTGTCATGAAAAGACAGCATTCAAAAGCTAAAAGCAGTAGGTATGTGTTAAAAACAGATTCAAACCAACAAGGCACAACATTCAAAAATGCCCACTCAGGCAGCCAGTCATTAAGGGAAAGCTTGCCCGAAGAAAAAGGCTTTAATTTGCTTGTGGAAGGACAGCAGAGATGAGGACAGACTGGCCTCTTGTGGGAGGGAGTTCCAGAGTCTGAGAGCAGTAATAGGGAAGGCCCTTTCCTGAGCATCATACAATGAAAGCTCCCCAAAAAACAACTACTGTTGTTGCTAGATTTCTGAAAAACTGACACTTTACTTTCCCACTTCTTAAAAGTAACTAAAACTGTTGCAAAAACATTAAAGCCTTCGCGAATACATTAAAACTGTTGACTTTCTGTTATTTTTAAATAGTACTATATCAGTAGTACCAGCCATTGGTCTGTGTCAAATAGCATACCAAGGATCTGTTGCACATCTTGCTCTAGCCTGGGTGTGAATAGATCTTGCTCTGCCTCATAGTTGCCCCAGAATTGCACAAATAATCTTGATTTGGCCCATTTGTGCACATGGCTTGCTAGAATGAGGACAGGGAACCAATCCTTATGAGATTTGACTCCTAAGTGCCAGGTTGGGATTTTTATCTGGTTTGTCTTGTTTTTGATAAAGTGTTAGGATTCTCAGTTCTTCATAAATACAACAAATCACACACACAAACACTCATAAAAATTTTAAAATGTAAGAAGATGTGAAAGTGTGGTAGGAATAGACAAAATAAATTTGTCTCTTCCTTACGGACAATTTGTAAACAGTCTTTTTTTTTTGAAGCAGTATCCTATTCCAGTCAGGAACAGTCTGTGTTACTTTTGTATAAGAGATGGATCGGTGGATCAATTCATTTCCCCTCTGTGACTGTACAGTGGTGCCTTGCTTTACGATTGCCCCGCATTAGGACAAATCTGCTTAACAACGATCTTTTTGCGATCACAATTGGTCTAAATGGGAGAATTTCGCTTTGCGATGATCGGTTCCCAGCTTCAGGAACCGATTCTTCGCAAAATGACGTTTTTCTAACAGCTGATTGGTGGTTTCAAAATGGCCACTGGGAAATTAAAATGGCTCCCCGCTGTGTTTAGGGACAGATTCCTTGCTATACAGGCAGTGAAAATGGCAGCCATATGGAGGATCTTCACTGGACGGTGAGTTTTTACCCCATCGGAATGCATTGAATGGGTTTCAATGTGTTTCGATGGGTTTTTTTCACTTTACAATGTTTTCGTTTAACGGTGATTTTCCTGGAATGGATTATCATCATTAAGCGAGGCACCACTGTATTATTCTTTTTATGTTATATTTGTTTTACTAGTAGCATTGTTGGGTGCCTTTAAGGCTGTTAGTTTTTGACCAAACTCTGGGAGGCAGTGGAAGACAGGAGGGCCTGGCATGCTCTGGTACATGGGGTCATGAAAAGTCGGACATGACTTAACAACTAAACAACAACAAAAAGGCTATCAGAACAAAGAGATGGTTCAAAAATGTTTAGTCAGTCAATTGAGGAATTACTTCTTGCACAAAGAGTTTTTGAAACTTAGGGTATGACCACACAGGGAAATAGATTGCAATTTGGACCACTTATAGAATGGCCCAGTGTAATCTATTTGTTGAAGTTTTATTTGCAAACTTGCATGCTATCTATGCTGTGATTGGGAGGGTCTTTTCCGGCCTGAAGTGATTGTCAATCTGTCTAGCACTAATCAATCATTCCATCTAGCTGCTGATTTGACAGAGCCCCACCTGTCTGCTGAGTGCTCCTTTTCCCTCTCTTTTGTTGATCAGTTGTTTATTTGTTTTTTTGTTTTTTTGTTTTTGCTGTTGATCTGTTCAGTTGGTTGCTAAGGATGTATGCAGTAAAACTGGCAGCGTGTGCAAGGCTATAATTTCAAGTAACTGCAAACAAAGAAATGCATTTTATTATTTCACCTACAGATGTCTCAGAGTGAGTTACTGAAACCTTAAGTGCCAGGTAATGAAAAAGGGGTGGACTCTGGGGAACCTGTAGCTATTCTCCTCTGTGCAGTTCTGTACTTCTACCGCATAACTAAAAGGAATTTTATCAGAAATTCAAAACTCTGCAACACTATGTCCCAGCTATCACAGGACACACAAATATAATTCAACCTGACCCTCATCTGTGCCTAAGCTTATGTAGGGCTTTGCCTTTTTTGGGCTGGCCTGAAGTGATTCCCCACCAGGGGAAACGGTTGCTTTAGGTGAGGGGGATCACTTGTTAAAGTGACCCTTTCTGGTGTGTTCAGGCACACACTTTTAGAGGCATCTGATCACACCCTTACTCAGCCATGGAAGGTTTATTTGTTCTCTCCATCTCTCTCGGGGGTAAGGAGAAAGCCACTCAAACCAAGAACCAGGGACCTTGGCACCCTAGCCAGTCTGCCAGCAGCTGTACAGCTTGCCTTGACTGATATAACACTGAGAGGAACTGCTGACATATCCTTAACTACAGTGACGCTAGCGTGGCATACTTTGCTGCAACCTATTATAAGTGCCCATTACAGGGAACATATGTGTGCCAATAACAGCTCCCTCTGTGGCATTTAGATTTACCCTTGGAATTTATCTTTAATTTTTATAGTTGTCTTTTTAACAGTTTATGGCTCTCTCCTCTTCAAACAAGCTGTCTCGCCGCTGTTCTTGTTCAGTTAATGCCTAATCTGTTTGAACATGAAATGAATATTGGATTTCCTATTAAATATTGACGATTTCTTCTTAGATCTTTAGCCGTTGCGCTGTGAACTCCCCCAAATCTTGCTGTACCATCTCCACCAGGTCGGTGATAGGAATTCTAGACACAATCTCTGCCTTTTTTTGGGTTGATTTCCTTGGGGATCTTAGTGAGAGCCTGATCCTGCATCCAGAATTTCTATCTCTATTCTCATGGCTCAGTTATACATATTTTCCAGGTGGATGCAATTTTCTGCGCATTTTCCTGGGGACTGAAGCCCACAACCTCATCCCGGATGTTAAGGTCCTGATGAAGATTTGAAGTTCCACATTGTTTCTGACAACAACAACCGAACGGCTCAAAGTTGAATCACATGGTTAATGTCACATGTTGTTTGGCAGACATTTTGAAACTGGAGTCCTCAGTCTTGACACTAATTAAAAAACATAAACAAGACAACTGTCTACGGAACGAATGGAATTCACCTACAGTCAACAAATGGCACCAGAGATCAGGGTTTAAAGCCTGAATAGTGGAAAACATTTAGCCTCTAAATTTTATTTAATTCAAGCCTTTCTTCTGAGCTCCTTCTTCTCACAACCAAGTTTCACATGGAATACCTCACATGTTTTCCAAAACAACGTACAGATTCAGAAAGGAAAACAGCTTCAGACTAAAATATATATATAGTAATCTACAGTAATTATGTTTTTTTTAAAAAAAATCATACGAGGTTCACAACAGGCATTTATTGGAAAAGAAAAACAACATGCCGGGTTAATTACGTAGTTTGGAATTTCATATTTTATTGTTTTCTGTTTTTCCTTAAACTATTCAGCTACCAGCCAAAATGAGCTGGGGGAATTGCTCACACCAGGTGCAGCTGTGCTTCATCGTTGTGTTTATCGTCTTGCTTGTCATGATCTACTTAGATAGAAAGACTGAGAAATTACTTGATTCCCCCTTGCTAATTTTATGGAGCAGCACCTCGTATACAGCAGCAAAACAACTCCTCCCCACCCCCTCGGGTGAATCTGAAAATAATCTCCAGTGATTTCCTTGTTTGTGTTCTGCTCTGTGGCCAAATAGAAGTGATAGGCTTAAAAAAAAAATCTTTGCAGTTTTATCCTGGCTGGGGGGCAATGAATTTTTGGTCCCAAGTAGCGATGGATGTGAATGGCCAAACTGTCCGTTTGTGCTAATTCGTTTTTCGTCTGAACAGGCGTTCGGCATTTCCCAACCCCACCTGCTAGGGTGGAGCCCAGCCAGAGACAGTGCCCAGAGAGGGCAGGACAAGGGACGCTAGGGTGCCGCTTCCAGCCCGCTGGAGAAGGGGGGGCTGTGGGACGGCAAACAACTGTTTTGCAAAAAAACCGAACCAGCACGAATTGTCACTTCGGAAGGTTCATGCCCATCTCTAATCCCAATTTCTGCTCAAACAGCAAAGCCTTGATAGCTGTGAGCTGAAGCCATGTTCCGAAGAGGAAAAGACGGATCGGTACTGCTGACACCACACGAAAAGAGGGGACGACTTTGCAACTCAAGAGTGTGATCACATGAGGAAATAGATTGCTGTTTGGACTGCCTATGGAGTGCTCCAGTGTGATCTATTTCCTGATGATCACATGACTGCATAGGAAAATGTACAGTATACTAGCTCTGATCTGTGCCCATACTGGACTTTTTTTTTTTTGCAGTCCCCTTTTAATGGGAATGCATATGGGATGTGGTGGCGCTACGGGTTAAAGTGCGGAAGCCTCTATGCTGCATGGTCAGAAGTCCAGCAGTTGTAAGATCGAATCCACGCGACAGAGTGAGCTCCTGTCGCTTGTCCCAGCTCCTGCCAACCTAGCCGTTTGAAAGCATGTAAATGCGAATAGATAAATAGGGACCACCTCGGTGGGAAGGTAATAGTGTTCCGTGTCTAGTCGCGCTGGCCACGTGACCACGGAAACTGTCTACGGAGAAATGCTAGCTCTATGGCTGGGAGACAGGGATGAGCACTGCCCCCTAGAGTCGGACACGACTGGACTAAATGTCAAGGGGACCGTTACCTTTACCCTTAAATAAATGCACACAGTTGAGAAATGAATTCAAAGTACTGTGAGTAGAACAAGTAATAGGATTTAGGTAAGAAGCTTCTGCTGTTTCATTCTGACAATACAATAGGACTATGATAACCATAGGGGGTTCATTCTAAGCTCCTTCCCCTGTGGATGCTAAAAATTGTGGATATGCGAACTCTCTATATAGCATAGTCTCTGATCCCCTCTAGTGCCCACTTCCAGTGATAGATCTTGGTGTTTTTTTTAATTGTTTTGAGTTATTGTGTGTTTGTTTTGTTTGCCTTTTTAGTTTGTAAACTGCCCAGAATAGTGAATTGCACTAATGGGACAGCACATAAATAAAGTGGTTTTTTTTAAAAAACAACAACAATAATTTAACATTTTCAGGCAGCAGATAATTGAAACTGTGGGTACTGATCCCGTAGATGTGGCGATACTACTGTATACGAAGATTGATGAGAGACCATCAGAAATCTTCTCCTGCTTTCCTTCCACCAGAAAGAAAAGCAGGAGATTATTAATTTATATCAGCTGAAGATTGAAATTATTAAAGGATCTATTACAATGGTTCTACCACTTATAGTATACATTCTGTCATAGGCATGCTGTCATCTTAAGATTTTGTTTGATACAAATGGCATCATTCAGAGACATAAACAAATGTTGTCCGTCATTTCGTGATCTCTGATTGAAAACAAGTTGCAAATGTTCATGCGAATGCTGTAATTTAAACAATAAAATAAACCTAAATATTTTAAATATTTAATAAATAGAATATATCCTTCTTGTCCTTCTGTTGTCAGACAAAGACCATCCTCTTCAGGCATGCTTTTACATACATATTTTTATTACAATCCTTACACCAATTAAACAAAAACAATTAGTCAACCCTCGACTTGCGAATGGCCCTAGTTATGAACATTTCGACTTACAAACCACTCTGATAGGAAAATATTGCCTCGAATTGCGAACTTTGCTTCGAGTTACAAAATCTTTCCTCTTTTTTAAACCTAAGTCATCTTAGGTTAAAAGGGAAAAAAAGGAAAAAAAATTCTACCCCTAGTGGTAGGAACGGATTAACCAGCTTTGCATTAGTTCCTATGGGAACTAATGCTTCGACTTACAAACTGCCCCTCGACCTAAGAACCAAAAACAGCTGGAACGGATTAATTGGTTTTAATGCATTCTTATGGGAAATGCTGATTCGACTGATGAACTTTTTGACTTATGAACATCCTTCCGAAACAGATTAAGTTCGTAAGTTGAGGGTTGACTGTATACTTTCAGTCTTTTCACCGTAAAGCACAGTAAAATTGCGACTTAGTTTAAAATCCATTTAAAATCTTATAATTTAAATCCATTTATATTCCACAATTTAAAACCATTTAAAATCTACACATCTAAAATTTATCTACACTTTGATTTCTGGAATCTAAGTATCCCCATACAGAAACTTGCAACAGGATAAGTGATCTTAGGGTCTTTATCTGAGAGGAAAAAAAAATGGAATCTAAAGTAAGCAGTCTCAGGAATGCTGGTTTTTAACTTATTAGTTCTATAAATGTTTTTTAAAAATTGTTTTTTATACTTGATTGTTTTAATCTTACTGAATGTTTATCTAATTTTAAATGTGATATTTATATTGTGATTTACATTTTTTTTAAAAAAAACTTGTAACTGTTGTGAGCCACCTTGAGTCCCCCTACGGGGGAGAAAAGTAGCAAATTTATATCAGCTGAAGATTGAAATTATTAAAGGATCTATTACAATGGTTCTACCACTTATAGTATTATTAAAATACATAATAACAGCAAAAAAAGGTCAGAAATGAGTGTCAGGTTGTGATACATTGTTCCCTCATACCTGTATAAATAAATCTGCCAGGGGCTCCTTTGCAAAACTGTTTAGATTTGTACGATAATGTTACTTCAACCACACCGGGGATGTGACGAGGGGGCGTCTGGACACGGATGGCGTGTGGGGTTATCAGCTAGAAAAATATCAAGGAGATACATGTTAGGATGTCAAACAGGTTTCCACAAGAATGGTCATCATTCTCAGTTTGTGCTTCTAGATCAGCCTTCCCCAACCTGGTGCTGCTCAGATGCCTGAGGCAGCATCTCTCATCATCCCCGCTCACCACGATCCATGCGTTTCAGGATACAAGGTTTAGTGGCCTGTTCCAGATTAATCCGATAGTTACAGACCCTACCTCCCCGCCTAAAGTGGCAATAGCTTTGATCACACTTGAACACAGAACCTACCTCCCCGCCTAAAGTGGCAATAGCTTCCATTTTGTGTATTCTGGCGGCAGGATATTAGTATTACTGGAAATTGCTTGTAAGCAAAAATAGCTATGCACTCTAAGACCTTCAGAAAACCAAAGAAATTAAAAACAAAACAACAAAAAAGGGCCACAGATAAAGCCTCACCAGGCACTTTTTTGTACTTTAACTTCCACTCCAGATAAAGTAGGGTATCCATATAAAATGGACAACATGACCCTGCTAAAAGTTGGGTGGAAGAAGAAACTGCAAGACAAGCTGCATATGCTTGGGAGCACTGTGGCTGCTCAACTGGCCAAGGGTTTGAGCACATGACCAGGCATGTGACTGAGATGTGCCCCAGCACCTCACTGACTAGCCACATCTAACATGGCATGCTGTGCAAACCTTCCACGAATCCCAACATAACTCTGCCCAGTGTTCCAAGTTAGCTCACCAAGCAACAAACCCAAGGATTCTGTAGATTGGATCCATTACAGTAAAAGTGTTCTTGCACAATTAAAAATGACAACTAGAACAAGTCCTACCACCCTGTTTGTTAAAAAGGAGAGCAGCTTAACAAACTCTAGCTACAAAGCAGCTGTGCCTACCTCACTCCATACCAGCATGGTCCCAAATACGACCTGTAGGCCATCAAAGAAGTTGTCTCCTATAATGATCACCATGGCTCCACCTGTTGTCCAGCCTTCACTTGGACTGATAGCTTTGATGCAGGGTGTGGCTAGAGGACAGCATCAGGGCACAAGCACAAGAAAGATCCCATGATAAATGGGTTATTCATTCATTCGTTCGTTCGTTCGTTCGTTCGTTCATTCATTCATTCATTCATTTATAGACTGCCTTTCTCTTGATAAGAGAACTCAAGGCAACTCAAGGATAAAAGGCAAGGGCTCAGCCTGGTCTTCCGAGGGGAGAGCCTTCCATCACCTGGGAGCTGCCACAGAGAAGGCCCTGTCGTGTGTCCTCATCAACCGTGCCTGTGCCAGCAATGGGACCAATGGGAGGGCTTTCCTCTACTTTCCTTGGATTGAATTAGAGATTTCACTTGTAGGAAGAAGGGGAAATGGGGAAGAGGTTATCAGTCATAGGACTAACTTATAAATGGTCACAGGTGGTCGCAGCTCACAGACTTGGGTCTGGCAGAAGGCCCAGATTTGGTCACTGTGCCTGACCTGGCCTGAATAATTTGACTGCTGGCAATTTCTGAGGTAGAGTAGAAAATGGGAGGAATATGGAGGGGAGATCAATGACGTAGGCGGGTAGCAGATTCCTCCTATATCCTGGGCTAGTGAGAGGTGTCCCATGCCATGAACTGAGCTAAATCCCACCTCATGATCCCTTATGGGGACCCTACATTTGGGATGAAGCAGGGCAGACAACCTCCAAGTCCTTGCTGAACAAAGTCAGGAACAACACTCCTCAGAAATATCAGGGGTGGAAGGGTCTCTATTAAATGTCCTGGGAGTTAATCAAAGAGTGAAGACTTCCATCCAGGCCTGTTCCTCAGCATCAGCCTGGAATCTGCATTCTGATTGCTCACCAAAGATATTCCCAGAATGCAGTGCAGATATCCAGTCCAAATGTGTATATAGAGTAAGACGTTTACCACCTTTGCATCTCTAGAGTGGCACCAATATAGATTTACTTGCTTGCTTGTTTGTTTAGAATATTTTTACCCTGCTTTTCTCCTTAAAAGGACCCAAGGTGGCTTACATCATTTTAAAAAGACAATTAAAATCTAAAACCTGTGTCTGTGTGTGTGTGTGTGTGTGTGGTGGCTTACATCATTTTAAAAAGACAATAATTAAAAGCTAAAACCTGTGTGTGTGTGTGTGTGTAAAAAGAATTAAACAAGGATCATACTAAAACTGCTAAATAAAATCAACACTAAAAATACATTTAAGTACACATAATATGTGATAATGCATAGCATGATATATTCCCCATCATCCCAAGCTATTTCCCCTTACCCTTGAAGTAATAATAAAAAAGAATTAAACAAGGATCATACTAAAACTGCTAAATAAAATCAACACTAAAAATACATTTAAGTACACATAATATGTGATAATGCATAGCATGATATATTCCCCATCATCCCAAGCTATTTCCCCTTACCCTTGAAGTAATAATAACATGTGATAATGCAGAGCATGATATATTCCCCGTCATTCCAAGTTATTTCCCCTTACCCTTGAAGTAATAATAATAATAATAATAAAGCAACAGAGTGCAACAATCTGTTCAAAATCCCCCTCTCAGATAGCCAGTCACTAAGGAAAAGCCTTCCTGAAGAGAAAGGTCTTTGCTTGCCTATGGAGGGACTGCAAAGGTGGGGTCAGGGAGTTCCAGAGTCTGGGAGCAGCAACAGAGAAGTAGCCATAAATAGGAACCTGTACATTGGGGCAGGGATCTGAAGGTCCATTTATCACTCTACAGAGCATCATGGCATTGGACAGGTTAATATCAATCCTAATGGTTGGTTACCCTGAAGGAAGTACAGCTATGTAAACTGTAGCACTGAATTGTTGCTACGAACAATTTGCCTCTCGTATCTCTCATCCTCCACCAAGTCCCCCTATTGACCTACAGCAGAGAATACAAGTGTCAACTTGCTAAGAAACAGCAATTCACCATTGGAATTCACACCATTACACTTACACTAGCTCAGTGGTTGAGGTATCTGGCTGCAGCAATTCACACCATTATACTTACACTAGCTCAGTGGTTGAGGTACCTGGCTGCAGAGCCAGAGGATGGGAGTTCAATTCCCCATTGTGTCTCCTTGACAGGGGATTGGTCTCAATGATCCATAGGCTCCTGTCCGGCTCTGCAGTTCTCAGATTACCATTATTCTGGCTGATACACATTAGTCGGTATCCTATTGTATAGGAACATCATCATACAAGCAATGATGCATTGGTGGGATTGGGAGCTTGCCACTAATTAAAGAGTCCCTGCCAGGGCCATCAATAAGGTAGGGAAAAAAGGGCACCTAAACTTAGAGGGCACAAAAATCTAGAGATATACAGTGGTGCCTCGCATTGCGACGTTAATTCGTTCCGCAAAAATCGCTGCAGAACGAAAACGTCGCTATGTGATATTAAAAAGCCCATAGAAACACATTGAAACCCCTTCAATGCGTTCCTATGGGCTGAAAACTCACAGTTCAGCGAAGATCCTCCATAGCGCGGCCATTTTCGCTGTCTGGAGCAAGGAATCCGTCCCTAAACACAGCGGGTGGCCATTTTGTTTACCCGGTGGCCATTTTGAAACTGCCGATCAGCTGTTTTAAAATCATCACTTTGCAATGCTGGAGCATCGCAAAGGGAAATTCCCCCATAGGGAACATTGTAAAGCAATCGCTTTTGCGATCGCAAAAAATGTGTCGCAAAGCGATTTCATCGCTAAATGGAGCGATCGCTATGCAAGGCATCACTGTAATTGTCAACAACTCCTGACCCTATTTATTTATTTATTTATTTATTGGCAACAACTCCTGACCTTAGTTACTCTCTTCCCCCAAAAGCATAAACCTCTTTTCGTGGGGGGAGTATTACATTCTCCTCCTTCTTCCTGGGTGCACCCACACCTTAGCTTCCCCCGAAAGCATGAACCTCTTTTCTTGGGGGGAATATTCCTTCTTCCTGGGTGCACCCACACCTTAGATCAAAGCGGGCATGGTGTTAGATGGCCCAGGTGCCAAAACTTCCCACTACATTTCTGATCCCTGCTTTAATTTTGAGTTGTGTAACACTGTCCCCTTGCGTGTGAGCTGTGTGCAGCAACTTGAATGGAAACAACAACTCTTTAATTAGCAGCAACTTGCCATTTATGGTAGCATCGTTCCCATGTTGCTACAAAGCAGGATTTTGGTTATGCTTTTTTTTTTTACAGCTAGTCAAGAGGTGTGCAAATTCTTGGCTTTATTGTTTGTTCAAGTACATTGGAACTCCGTAGCATTTATCCCAGAATTACGACACAACGTGAAAGATTTCCTATTGTTATGGAATAGGGTAATCCCTTTTTCTCCCCTACTTTCCAGGCCCCTGGACTCGACATCCCATCAAGATCCCAATATGGTTTTCCAGTCCATAACCAAAGTCAATCCATCACACCATTCCCAATGTTGACAAGGTCAGAGGTGGAAGGGGGCTTTGGCACGGCTCCAAAAATACGAGCCTCCTTTGAACAGCCGGTCAATCACATTCAATCAGTCAAGGAAAAACTGGAAGGCTTCCTACGCTTGCAATCTTGGGAGTTTCCTTCTACCATTTCACTGCCCGCTGGGGGAGAATTAACACTGCTCCGAATTCTTTACTGATTCAATCATTTTCTTCCAGTTCATTAATTCTCCTTTAGGTTGATGTGGGACACATTTTTAAAAGGGGGGAGGGGGGAAGTCAACAAAACCCTCTAATGAAATAATAGACTAACTTGTCTCTTCGAGTAACGGTCACCGAGTCTTCTCACTTTCACTAGCCAGGAGAATAAGGCCAAGAGGGGCTTCTCTAGTTATTTTTAACTGGTGCCAGAATAGGGCTGGCGAGAGTGGAGGCGATTATCCAATTTGAAGCTTAGCAGATCCAGCGATCTGTAATTGCTTGGAAACACAGCCTGCAGACTATGGTGATTCCTCGCTTAGCCAAACAAACGAAAATCAATTAGTGTCAGTTTCCTTCTGCGCATTGTTATGTTTCGTGCAGTTTGTTTAAGGGAACGGCTGACACTTTTTCATACACATCTTGTGCTGTTCCATTTCTGTTTAACTAAGATGTCAGGGCGCTTGATTTGCTCAAAATCAAGTCAAGCCCGGCTGAGCAAGATGTCTGAAATTCCTTCTGCCGAATGCTTAGCACATCGCTATTCGGCTGATCCAGGTCGAAAGAAACAATTAGAAGAATAAAAGACCAGAGGGACGGCTTGATCATATTATGCATAGCACGGCCGGTGAGATTCAGGACAAAGGTAACTAATAAGTACAGCCAGCCCTACCATTAGGCAGACTGTGGAGGTGGCCTTAAGCGGCTGAAGCTGTGGGACAGGAAGCAGCAGATTTGCGTGTGATGCACACTAAAAATGTGTGATGTCCAAGGTAATGAAAAATATGGTGTTCTCTCTTATCCCATGTGTGAAAGCCAAATGCTGTTGTCCTATCAATCATTCCATTAAACACCCTCAGTCTCATGACGCGAGAAACAAAAACTTACTCCTTCTTGAGAAGGACAATGTACGTTTGCTGGCATTTTGTCATTACCTTTTATCTTGTATGGTAAGTTTTAAGGGCAAAAAAATTGCAAATAATATTATTGAGATCAAATGCAACAAGATCAACAACATCAATGTAATGATTCCTGTACTAGTTGAATACTACAATAATACTACTGAGTTTTGCAGTCACTGTAAAACACAAAAATAATAAATAAATTTCACAGTACCATTATTATTGGGAATAATAATAATTTTATCATTGGATTAACTTAGAAAAATAATACTCCTATGATTTCATATTATGAAAATCCTATGTTCTTTGTCGATTACTTCTGTGACTCAGGAGTAATTCAAGTACCACTGGCTGAGAGCTAAAGATATATACTGACTTTAGACACGTGTAAATATGACTGGTTCAAACTGATTGGTTCAAAACTGGGAAAGGAGTATGACAAGGCTGTATATTGTCCCCCTGCTTATTTAACTTATATGCAGAATACATCATGCGGAAGGCTGGACTGGAGGAATTCCAAACCAGAATTAAGATTGCTGGAAGAAATATCAACAACCTCCGATATGCAGATGATACCACTCTGATGACAGAAAGTGAGGAGGAATTAAGCAACCTCATAATGAGGGTGAAAGAGGAGAGCGCCAAAACTGGTCTGAAGCTCAACATAAAAAAAACACAAGATCATGGCCACTGGTCCCATCACCTCCTGGCAAATAGAAGGGGAAGATATGGAGGCAGTGACAGATTTTACTTTCTTGGGCTCCATGATCACTGCAAATGGTGACAGCAGCCACGAAATTAAAAGACACATGCTTCATGGGAGGAAAGCAATGACAAACCTAGACAGCATCTTAAAAAGCAGAGACATCACCTTGCTGGCAAAGGTCTGCATAGTCAAAGTTATGGTTTTTTCCAGTAGCAATGTATGGAAGTGAGAGCTGGACCATAAAGAAAGCTGACCGCCAAATAATTGATACTTTTGAATTGTGGTGCTGAAGGAGACTCTTGAGAGTCCCCTGGACTGCAAGGAGATCAAACCTATCTGTTCCAAAGGAAATCAACCCTGAGTGCTCTCTCGAAGGACAGATCCTAAAGCTGAGGCTCCAATACTTTGGTCATCTCATGAGAAGAAAAGACTCCCTGGAAAAGCCCCTGATGTTGGGAAAAAGTGAAGGCAAGAGGAGAAGGGGACGACAGAGGATGAGATGGTTGGACAGCGTCATTGAAGTGACCAACATGACTTTGACAAAACTCCGGGAGGCAGTGGAAGACAGGAGGGCCTGGCATGCTCTGGTCCATGAGGCCACAAAGAGTCAGACACAATTTAATGACTAAACAACAACAACAACAAATATGCGTGGAATCAGAGGTATTTCTGCCTTCTCTGTTGCTGCTCCCAAACTTTGAAACTCCCTCCCACAGGAGGCCAGGCTGGCTACATCTTTGCTGTCCTTCTGCAGGCAGACAGAGACCACTCTCTTCAGGCAAGCTTTCCCTGAGTGTCAGAGTGGGAATTTTTTTAAATGGCTAGCTGTACCTTACTGCTTTGAATGTGTTTTTTGTGTTGTTTTTGTTTACTGTTTTCTGCTGTGGCATTTGTTCCATCCTTCTCAGTATTTGCATACTTACTGTTGTTAGCTTTAAATGTTGCCCTTTAATAATTATTTAATAATTATAATGTAAGCCACCTTGGGTCCGTTTTTAAGGAGAAAGGTGGGGCAAAAATATTTTGACAAATACATAAATAAATGTGCAAATTAAACAAGGAGCATGGCAAAGAACCCAGGAACATGAACAGGATGGGATTGTACCACCATGAACCCCTTGTGTTAAATCCAGAACTTTCATTTTGTAATTTAAAGTGGGGAAAGTGAAATAAAAATGAAGGTAGTAGCTGAATTTCCAGCAAAGAGAGAATATTCCCTACCTTAGACATGAACCTTACTTGCCTTTCCTGCTGCAAAGTCACTTTGTAAGTCTGTGGTTGCAGCAACACTCATTTCAGATACAGGTCACAGGAAGGGGAAAGGGGGACAGAGAAAGGGCTAAAAGTGTAGAAGAGAAGGCTCCCTGCATTGCCCATTCAGGAAGGACTCAAAGACAACTGTACCCATTGTCCTGTTAAAGTCCTTCACTCACTATCTTCTGAGTGGCCTTAGAAAACCAAATTGTTTTTCTCTTGGCAGCTGGACAAAATAAAGAGGGAAGTAAAAAAATAAAAATAAGGCAGGGTGTCCAGTTATGTGGACTATTGCTGGCATTCCAGTTTCAAACCAGCTAATTTTACCATTTGTAGTTCCCCATTCACAGGAAACACAAGTAACAAATAGAATCTTCATGGAGATCTGGAGGGGTATAAATACCATCACAGCGTATTCTGCTGCATGTATAGAAGTCGGTATCCTTCATTGATAAGAAATTAGTCTAGAAAGTGTTTTCTGGGGAGTCATGGATCATCTTGTATGACTTGTAGCTCTTGTTTCACAATTTCTTCGTTGATCTTTCAGAGTGGGATATTAAGGTTAGCATGTCTGTGCATGCATGAGAAACAGGCCCTTTGGGCGGAGAAAGGGATGACTTTATACCATTAAAAATACCCTTTTATGCAAACTTGGTGGAGGTCACAACTTCCTTTGCTATTTTAAATCATGACTCGAAAAAACTTGGAAACCACTGTTCTAGATGGCCTTTGATGTACACCCAATGCTATGTTTCTAAGTGTCTTAAAATATGCCAAATTTCAATTATTCCCCCCTCAAAAAAAACAACAACAATTAAAACAGGGATGAAATAGGGATAGGAAATAAATCAGAACAGGTGTGAGAAGATTGGGACTCCTTATACAAGTGTAGATGATTTTATTTAGACATAGACATTGCTTCATTTCCTCCTGTATGATTATGTAACACAGTTCATGGTGGTCTCCACCTCGCTGTGAGTTAAAGGGCCATACCTTCAGACGGGTCAAGTCTTCTCGCCCTCCTTCCATGTTTTGAGTTGTTATGAACAAACATATTGTCAGATACCGCCAAGACATGCCCATCAACATTCACTGTTGTTGATAACACCACCTGGATATTAGAACGGCAAGAAAGGGAAAGCCACATAAATTACTTTTGCGTGATCCATGTTGGAGGTGTTAATTATTCGGCCGAGTTTAAACCCCCATTCTATTTTGGCAAAATGAAATTCTGCCCTCCGAGGATTATCCCTCCCCCACCTCCATGTGGATGAAACCTTTCTCTCTTGCATTAATTCCACTTAGCGCTGAGTCCTAAACCCTAGTGCTTTGGTAGCATAATAAGCCAATGGCAGAAAAGAGACCTACATTTAGGTTATGATCAAAAAAAGTCACATCCTCTTCCTAGCATTATTCAAAGGGTGAGTTTAAATAGGGTGAGTGGACCCAGGCTTGAAGTCCTGTGAATGTAAACTCCATACATGGATCCCTTATGCATACAAGGATCTCATGAAGAGAATGAAAAGAATTTGAGTCATCTCAATATTCTCGATAAAATTTTATGCCTTCAGAAACTGTTGAGAATTCTGACCATTGCTATGCATTGACTATTGCTACTTTTTTAAAAATGTAGATCACGTTCAAATGAATGGAAACCAGTAAGACACACACAAACACATTTCCATCAATAGGGGAAAATATGTACAAAATGTGCACATGATAAGATGTGCATAAATAAATGTATGAATTACGGAACGTGAAAATATGTGTGAATTTCCATGCTGAAAGGGAAGAATGAAGTTGAAAACTAAAATAAAGCACAGGCAAGAACACAGACAGGATTGATAGTAACACAGCAAAATTAAGACTGAGAGTTGTTCACAGGGAAGAAGTTTGTTATCGTTCCTATTTTTTTTTTCAGTTTCAGACCCAAATTCAGTTATTCTCTGGGGTCTATACTTTTCAGAATTTTATCCTGGATTTCATTTATTTATTTAGTTAGTTAAAAGTGGGTGTTTTAGGGGAAGTGCAATAAAATAGGTATGTTAGCAAAAAAATTAAAAATTCATTATAATAAGGACACTACTTATAAAAATATGTATTTTAAGCAAAGCTGTGTGTAAAATGCATGCATACAAAATGATATGCAAAATAACCACGGCAATCTTAAGGCGAGCTTTTTTGAAAAACACCAAAACTCAACGTTTGAGACAAAGTCAAGCTTAAAATTACAAACTGTCTCCCGGTGTAGCTTTTATCTAAGCTTAAATCTATGAAAACGAGCAATGGAGAGAAAGCCGAATTCGCAGATTTTTGCAGCCACAGTCCCTTGCAAAGTTCGTGGAAGAGAAAGCAGAGGCTAGAAGAGAAGTCTCACATCCAAATGCTGCCTGCATTAAGAAAAGGGCCTCTGTCCCATTAAGCGACCTTCAGTCATGTGACGGTTCCCAAGGGTTGGTCAGCAACCAAGCTGCTGTTGCTTTTGGCTTCCCCCACCATCTCCCACTCAATGGAGGGCGGAAGGTGCCCTGTTTTCAGAGGGAAGGAGCACTCAACAATCCTTAAGACTTCAGAGGCCCCCTCCCCATGTCCTCTATGAAGGCACGCCCAGTTCTGGGAAAAGCTGGTGCAGCTTCATCCAAGGAATGTAGTACTTCTACACTGCACTGCTATGGTTGTGTCCTATGGAATCCCGGGCATTATGCCAAAATATTTTCGTGCATTTTCCTAAAGTACTACCGCAGAGAAATTCTGAGTACCTCACCAAATCCCAGCATTATCTAGGATGGAACCATGATAGTTAAAGTTGCATTGAACTGCAGCCACTCTGCAGTGCAAAGGCACTGTGAGTCTACAGGAGTTTGCAGGGGGTGATCTCCACTTTGATAGAATATTTGTAAAAGGTTCGATAGCTTTTCCCTATGTCACAATTCCCCTGGAAATGCAGCCACTTTATTCTTTATTTGTGAATAATTCTATTTTCTACCTATAGAAAACCCATAGAGTAGACTTTTAGTCTAGATGGGCAGGGTAGAAATCCAAAAAATAAATAAATATTGGTTGCTGTGGGCCACCAGAACTCAATATTACAGAGGAATATAAACATATGTTTGCAATTTATGTATGTTATGCATTGTTGTCCATGGGGGGATGGGCAGGAGATAGAGCCCTGCTCCCTTTTTCATGCATTCAGTGGCTCAAATCCTGTTGAAGCTGGTGTGACATAAAGTTATGTCTGCAGAACTGTGGATGGCATTCTGCCCTGGCAATCTGCATTGTGCAACTTGATCGTACAATTGATTCCACAATTCATGGCGAAATGTTTGTGCAGTCGTTCATGGATGCCACTTCCACGGTGGCGTAATTTTCCCACCTGCTTACATAACCCGTAGCTACGCGCTATGCGATGAGATTTCGGCCAATATGTAAATCTTGTATGCGCAGGGCAATGTTCTTGCCCCAATGCCCATCAGGAGAAGGACAGCATCAGCAATGCTGCACCTGCATGGATAAAGCCAATGGCTCCTAAAGCCAAGGCCTTTGTGTACAGTTTTGTCTAAGCGCAGCAGAGAACAAGAATCACGCTCCAAAAATCAATAGAATAGCCCTTCAAAACATAAAGTCATTAAGATGCTATTGAAAATGCCAGCAACTGGCAATGAGAAACCTCTCTTTACTATACAGACACACACACACTAGGAGGAATGGTGATATATGGCAAAGGGATCATCAACATGCACATTGATCTCTAGAAAGTAGGGAAGCCAGATCTACTAGAAGTAACTAGATTGACCTATGGTTCTAGATCTAAGACGATAAAGGTTCAATTCTTATCTTACTCCATGATTTTGGGTCAACTGTCTTCCTTCAGTGTAAGCCACCTCCCTAAGTTGTCTTGTGAGCGCCCTTTATGTGGAAGAGTCCTGGACATTGTGTCTCTATGTGTTCATGTAACTATTTTCATTCAAGGTTATCAAGGTGTCATAGAAGGTCCCTCTCCCATTTTATCTTCATAACAGCCCTGTGAGGTAGACTGAGGGGATTGGCCCCAAGCCCCCTTGCAAACAGGCATTTTGGCCTCCTTCCGTGCACCTTTCCATGTAACCGCCCAGAGTAGACCTTTGGTTTAGATGGGCGGGAATCCAATAAATAAATAAATAAATAAATAAATAAATAAATAAATAAATAAATAAATAAATAAATAAACAAACAAACAAACAAACAAACAAACAAAACAGGTGGCTATTCATTCTATTTCAGTCCTGACATCTAATCTCACAAAAGCCTCCATGAGTAAGAAGAGTCTTTCCTGAAAACATAACAGCCCTCATTAAAATCTTCCTTCCTTCACAACTATTTACATATTCAAAGTTTGCCTGAGGAGAAAGGTCTTTCTCTGCTGGTGGAAGGTCAAGGAGGAGGAGGATGCCAGCCTGGCCTCCTGTTATAAAGAATTCTGTGGATTGGGAGCAGTCACCAAGAAGGCCCTGTCTTATGTCTTTACTGGGTGTATGTGTGTTTGTGAAGACGGTGGAACGAAGAGAAAAGCCTCCCTCAAAGATCGTACGGTCCAGGGAAACTTACTCATGTTCACAATATCACACATACTATCACAGATTTACACATCCTTGCACACTCACTCACACTATTACATCATACATACCTTTTCAGTTAGAACATCAATTTTTAGACAGATTACATAACACAAACACCTATTACGTATGTCATGTACTCTTAAATGACTTGTATTTTCACGTTACACACGAAACACATGTTATCCATCTTATCACACATCTTTTCATTTGAAAACCCACCTGTGTGTGTGTACACACACACTGCTTGAGTATACACCCTTCTCCAGAGCTGCATTCTCAATGTGAATTGGAGCCTTTCACTTTGAACAGATTCAAACATTCTGGCTGGGGGGGGGGATACAATACCATCTCTACTCAGTCTGGCCCTCTAAATCAAGGAAAGGAGCTGGGTCAAAGCAGAGAGTACTTGAAGTAATAAAGCCTAAAGTGGACAGGCAGATGGGAGGGGCAAATTAAACCTTCTTTTGACACAGTATAAAAATGAGACACTCCTCTGCCCACTCATGTAGGCAGAGACCTTGTCTTATCTGTATATGAAAGGAATAAAACTGTAAGAAAATGAGCAAGCATCCTGCTGTTGGGGCTACATGTGTGATGGCTAGCGACACCACGCATTTCCTCCAGGCCTCTGCCGCACAAATACAGTGGTACCCCGTTTGACGATTACCCCGCTCCACGACGAATCTGCTTTACGATGAGTTTTTTGTGCTCGCTATTGCGATCACAAAATGATGTTTAAATGGGGAAAATTTGCTTTATGACCATCGGTTCCCTGCTTCGGGAACCAATTTTTTGCTTAATGATGGTTTTGAAACAGCTGATCGGCGGGTCGCAAAATGGCTTCCTGCTGTGCAAAATGGCTCCCCGCTGTGTTTAGGACTGATTGCTCGCTTTACAGGCACCGGAAAATGGCCGCCTTATGGAGGATCTTCGCTGGACGATGAGGTATTTCCTCCATTAGAATGCATTAACCAGTTTTTAATGCATTCTAATGGGTTTTTTTACTTTCGCTTGATGACGATTTCGCTGTACAGCGATTTTGCTGGAACAGATTATTGTCATCAAGCGAGGCACCACTGTATTTGGAACAGTCTCCTTTTCTTCTGTTGGTTCATAGAAACAAAGCTTTTCTCTCTCGCTCTCTCTGTATCTCTCTCTCTCTTTCTCTGTATCAACATCTGGCTGTAAAATATATATTAGAATGTGATGTGGTTGACTGTTTATATACCTCCATCCCACTGGGCGTGTATAATATAGTCTTTGCTTGTGTGCGGTTGGAACTCTCTGTGTTATATGTATGCACAATAATACATTTTTGATTTACATTTGGTTACAATTTAAAATCTTCTCGTAAATATTTCAGGCCCTGGAATAATTCACCCTTATTCCCTCGCTGGGCCAGGCAATGTGAGATTGAAATTTATTTCCATTGTTTAAGAGAAAAATAATGAAGTTCATCTGACTCGGCTCGGTGATGTCACGGGGGAAATGTTCACTTTGGAACGGCAGTCCGGCT